ACAAGTTTTCATCGTTCAAGTGTGAACCCCTTGATTGGATGAAAGTATTGAAGAGGAATGGGCTTATATCACAAAAAATTTTTATTTCATAATTCGATAGAACTCGCCCAAACTAGCTCACCACCGCAAACCGTTTCTTGCTGTGAGCTCCCTACGTTTTATAAAAAATTATTGAAATCCCCGATTATTCGGACCTCTGAAAACGAGGCGATGATGTGACGTCAAAACCCTAATACTGAAACAAGACTATTCCGGACAGAGATAATTGATACATGATTTCTGACAGAGTGAATTAGAGCGAGATCACAGTTGAAAGAATTATAATATCAGTTGCCTCAGTCTCCGTCGGGCGTTTGGTATTTTCTTTCAAATATGGCGAGATGAGGTTTCTACGTCATAAGAGGGTCCGTTTTCAGATGGTACTATTATTTATGTCCAAAAATAAAACATTCCAGTTCATTTTTCGATCGAATAATGTCGTCAATCATTATTTATGTATGAAAGGATCATTATAAACATGGTTTGAGTTGAAAGTTCTACTAAGGTGTACACACCCATTGTAATGGTGCAAATGGTTTTGAGATTGAGACATTTCGTTGTCTAGAGATTGTTTATATTCCAATGATTCAACCTATAATCGACAACTTGAATATATTTTTCTTCAGTAGTGGTAGTGGATATCAAGAGATTTTTCAATCGATCTCTCGGATATTTTGTTTGGATGATATGGCAACAGTGATAAGTGTCAGTTTTAACTATGGCGGGATGACGTTTCTACGTCATAAAAGGGTCCGTTTTCAGAAGGTACTATTATTTATGTCCAAAAATAAATGATTCCAGTTAATTTTTCGATCGAATTATGTCGTCAATTATTATTTATGTATAAAAGGATCATTATAAACATGGTTCGAGTTAAAAGTTCTACTAAGTTGTACACGCCCATTTTCTCAGATAAATTATGAACTTAAAAAAAGGTTATATACAAGGTGTTTTTGAAATAAGTGCACATATTCAGCACATTAATATGATACAGTCTATATAAGGAATATTCCCATGATATCAGATTTTTTCTAATTCTTCTAATTCACGAGGAATGTCATCCTAAAAATTGAAAAATATACGAGAGAAAAATTGACTACGTCACTTTAAAACAATTTAAATGATTGAACTCCACGTAGTTGTGCGCCTACCCTAACAACACAGGGATGTCCTAGGTACGTCCCTTTTTTGTCCATCGGTACAAGGACATGATTGGGGCATCCAAGGGATGTCCCGCAGTGGTTGTCCAGTGGACATCCCGCCCGGTACATCCATAGGTTATCCTATTCGTGTCCCTGAAATATCTGATATCCATTCACATCAGAGTCTTTGAATTTCATCAAACTATTGAGTTGAATTTTTCTGAAAATGTTTTGTTTTTCTTCCGGAAAATAATTGTAATGAAAATAAAGAATAAAATCCCAGAACTTCTTGCGGAATTACCATTTTTCGCAAACAGAAATCGTGAATGCATGAAACCCCTCATTTTTAAACACCCAAGAATGATATTAATCATACCCAAATCCTAACAAAGTTGTATTTATTCAGGTTTCTGTAGTTTAGTCTTGTTTATTAATCTGTTTAGTACAATTATAAATCTTCAGAAGGGATATTAGCCAATGGAGTAAGGTGTGTGCCTGATAAGCAAACGGGTTATTCAACAGAAAACAACCACTTTCCTGGGTATATGCCACGACGAATATTGAATTACATATATTGAACACACACGATAAGAATTTGAAAACAAAATCTTCTGAAGTAGAGAATTTGCATTCTCCTTCATATAAAGATATGATTATAATATCAATCTGAGAATTCAACAGAAAACAAGTACTTTCCTGTTTGTGGGAGATATAATTCCCATATCACTGATACGAATGTTTTTTTTTAAGTTCCAAGCTCATCAAGATCAGAGTTTATACAAGTAATCTTCTCCTATACATTTCAATTTTCATTTCAATACTGAACAATACATATTGGTATTGGTTATTTTATATCATAATACATCATATTATTCTATTCGATTTGGAAGATAATTTCAATTCTCAATTCCAGAGGATTCTGATTTTTCATGCTCTCTTTTAGGATATTCAACAGATAGAATTCAATGTCCGACGTGGCAAATAGCCAGGAAAAAAGTTGTTTTCTGTTGAATATTATGCATATCTTTATATGAAGGAGAATGCAAATTATCTACTTCAGAAGATTTTGGTTTGAAATACTTATCGTGTGTGTTCAATAGATGTAATTCAATATTCGTCGTGGCATATAGCCAGAAAAGTAGTTGTTTTCTGTTGAATAAACCGAGAAAGAATGAATATTTTCATCACATGGAGAATGCGAATTCTCAATGAATTTCTTTATATATATATCCATTATTTTTGTGTTCATAAATATATCTGAGAATATACCTGCTCAATATATAATTATTATTTCTCATATTTTTGTTGAGATTTAGCGGGCAGTAATTTCAAACTTGCAGAGTTCGCTGCCTCTAATTGGATGGAAGCTTTCAAACCTTTTTTGATTTGATGAATAGAAAAGTTTCGGTGTTTAGATTCCTGCTGGCAGAAACCGCGGAGAAAAATCTTTCATCATGTCGAGTTGACATTTCTACTTATTTTTTTTCCTGTCTGTTTCAAGCTGAAATTCATAAACAAATATCGGGAAATACAGTTGTAAGTTAAAGAGGAATACACACTTGCAACGGCTTCGCATATTGCATAAAATATTCTACAGCAACTAAAATCAATTCAAATTTTCCGTACTAGTGAGATTCTTTAGTAGTTTTATATTTCCGCACTCAGTGCGAATAAAAATCCTATCCGCACGGCAAAATGAAAAGTGTGAAATAATTTTCGTGTGTGGACTCCTACAGATATTTTGTTTGCCATGAATAAGGACAAAACTGATCATGTGATCACCAATCAATCAGACAATAATTGTTTTTCGAGGCTCGAAAGAGTATGGTGATAAAAAGGAGTGAAAATAGAGGATATCACCCTGTATATACACGGTGACATTTTGAAAACTTTCCACCCTCAATATTTTCCGTCCAGTAAATAATATAAAAAATCGAGAAAACAAGTCAATTCTATTTTCAAGGAGGACACTCGAAATTTATTTTTAGCCCTCTTGGTTCAACCCCCTAGGAGGAGTAGATGTTACTCTTAGAATCTCAAATGGGATAGGGGGGTCAAGTGACACATCATTTTGAAGGCCGTTCAATTCTCTTTCCAACGGTACCCTAGTTCATCATTTTCTGTTCAGCAGTTTCCGAAAAATGCCGTGTCAATTAGGAATCTTCCTACCCTTAATATCTTCTTTTCAGTAGATGATATGGACATTCAATGTACGTACAAACATGGATTATCATTGGATGCTCTGAATTGTATGTACAGTGAACGTCCACTCAATGTTCAACCACCCATGTATGTAAAATGTACATTCATTGTACGTATAAAGTTGGATGTACAATGTATGTTCCAAAATTAACGTCCATTGGACATCCGTCGTCTCACGGACTAACACTCTCATGGAAGTTTGATCAACAGCCATTGTACGTACAGAGACGGACGTACATTGGACATCCATTTAACGACTATTAGTCTAAGCATTCATGGATAGAGAATAAACAATAATTATGAGTATATGAACAATTGTTCAAAGTAAATATCTATTTTAAATCATTTTGATTCTGAAGGTTTATGGACGTTAAATGAACGTCCGTTGTACGTTCAGAGATGGACGTAAGACTATTGATTTTCCAGCCACGTGGAGGGGAGACAGAAGGTCAGATCGGTCGGTAGACAAGCGGTAGCGTCTGGCGTGATGCTGACGCCATTTTCAGTTAGTAAATGACCGTGAACATGACGTGTTGACATGGACGTCCAAAGTGGTGTCCTCAGGACATCCAGTGGACGTCCATTGGACATTGAACGTCTACTCAAATACGTCCATTGGACGTTCCCACGATCTGAAGTGGACGTACATTGTACGTACATTAGACATACATGTGCTGTGTGGATTATTATAAAGGGCGTTCAATTCTCAAATGGTAGGAAGATTTTGAATGCATCTCAGTGCAGGCATGTGCCAATTATTTCTTCAAGTTCAGAACGGCATTTTTCGAAAACTGCTCATCAATAATCATAAACTGAGGTACTGTTCGAAAAAGAATTGAACGCCCATCAAAATAATGTGCATCTTGACGCCCTTTCCATATACGATTCCAAGGGTAACATCTACCCCTCCTAGGGGGTTTGAATCAAGAGGGCTGAAAATATGCAATTGAAGTCCCCCCATTGACATTGAAATTGATCTATCTTTTCGATTTTTCATATCATTTACTGGAAGATATAGACGGTGGGAAATGTCACCTTGTATAATCCGAGATTACATTGTCGAAAAATATGCATGCAAAAAAGTTTGAATAATATTTGAGGTAGTCCTACCCTCTATCATACACTCTAGTAAAAAATTTTCGAATGATTTTATTTTCACTGCATCGGGCATAGAACGTTTCAGAAATATACAGGAAATCTCATCTTCACGAGCCCCTTAAGGCGACCTTAGCTACATAGAAGCCATTTTGCGACTCATGTTCATTGAAACCTCTCTTTCCATTTCTCATTGAAGAAAGTGCTATTAAAGTTTGGCAGTCTAATTCAAATCATACATAAAAATCTTCCAAGTAAAACATGGAGAATCCTAAGCAAAAATTCATTATAATAAATGTTGTTTTTGTGTTTTTTAACATCTTTGAAAATCGTTTAGATAGTATTAACGTCAGTTCGAAAGGAAAAAATAACGAAATCAACAAACCAGTAAAATACAAGATGTTCCATTGAAAAATAAATAAGTTTGAATCGTATTCCCAAAATGTCGAGAAGGAAGTCGACATTTTTAAAACCCCAAGCAATCATTCTACGGAACAAAATATGAAAAAGTAAAATACTCACGTGACTCCTGCCTTTGTGCTTTGTAATCCTGTTAGAAACAATAGAAAAAATACTGCACTAGGTACCATCTTTCGCTATCTGAAATATAACGATTAAAACATATTTCAACGAGCATTGAATCAATCTACACTGTTATGATGATTAATTTATTGTAATCTTTGATTTAACCAATGGTGTCAACAAATTGAAAAAAATGATCAATAAATTTATCTGACTTGACCTCTTGTTTATGCACGATGCACGGGTATATAAGGAATGGAAAATATACAAGTTGAAATAATCACTTCCTAGAACAGCGTTTTTTTATGTAAAGAATCAGCACATCTCATTGAATAGTCATTTTTGTATTTGAATGGTGCGCGAAATGCTACTTTTGTGATCGAGAACTGATTTTTTTCAACGAGGGCGCAGCAGAGAAAATGTACTATTTTTACTATGCAGCAGACTCTGCACCTACATTAAACTTGAAGTGAAGTGAAACAGGGAGCAAGAAAGTAACTTATATTTTCAATTCTTCTATATGAAACTCACAAAACCAGTGGCGTACAATAATATTCACCATACATATCGATAGGCCCACTGCGATGTCAATGATGGAGATATTATTTGGAATCTATGGTTACACTAAAAGAAGCTCCATGTTACTATCAACTTTATTTCAAAATTCAGTATCAAGATTTCAATTTTGACTTTTCCGCACCATTTAGAAGGAAAAAGAATCTATTTCATTATTTTTCAGTGCATGAAAATATTCTGCGAAAAAGTTACTTTATACCGTCCTGAAAAGTTATTTTCCTGCACGATTTTTGTATTGGTGAAAATAAGGATATTTAGATACTGTCTGTAGGTTGATCGAGGAGGTGGTATACATTCACTTTACTTGATAACAACAAAAAAAGAAAAATCAAGGAATCCGCTTGCATTCTTCTAAACGGAGACAATAGCATTGCTTCCTGTTCAGTTGATATATAGAACATGCTATTGACTACTGAAAGCTGAACATGAAAATGGTAGACTCGAGATCAATTAATGAAAACCTCCTGTAACTCATTTGTAGACTAAAGTCACTCAGTCATATGCCAACATCAATATGACACTGAAAAGTGTCAAACCATAAGCAGCACAATTTTCAAAGAAACATATTTCGTATTTACATGTTGAGAACGGGAGCAGAATCGGTCCCGAAACGTCCAGAGATAAGTAAAAATTCGTTATTTTTCCACTGACAAGCTACTGGATTTTTCTTTTATACTCCCTGATAAAAAAATTTGTTAAACGCAGTGACATTTTGGGGCAAATGATCTGATTTGTCCCTCTACAAATATATTGAAATAATACGAATACTTTTATAAGAACCTTTTTTTTTTCATTAATAATGTGGACAAAAACACTCGTAGAAAAAACTTTGTGCCTAACTCTTGCAGAAAATGTTTTTTGCCCTTGACGACTTGCCCGAACTCCGCTCCGCGTCGTTCGTGCAACAGCCGTCGCGTGCGGAAAGTACTGGTTTCCGCACTTGTTAGGTAAATAACTATTTTTCTCCATATGAAAGATTACTTTATTTTCCATAAACTTTTATGAAAAATCAAGGTTTGGAGGCTTTTTATTCTTCAGGTGATGTTCGGAAATTTGTTATCAAGATCACGAACTGAATTTGTATCATTTTTTGTTTCAATAGTGATAATACATAGGTTCCACCCTTCTTTTAAAAATATGATCAGTAGCAACACTATAAGTACTTCAAAATATTAGGGTTATACATCGATAACTTCCTATTCTGTTAAGCTGACACGATTTGTAATTGTGCAGGAACATTTCACGACGCGCTTTGTTTGTGTATGTATACCAATATGAATTGGTTACTATGGAAATATTTCTAGATTTCTGATTGGTGGTGATACTATAATATCACATATATTCGAAATTATTATTATTATTCCAACATTTCACGAGGCGCTTTGTTTGTATGTAACAATTTGAATTGGTTACTATGGAAATAATTCGTTTCTGATTGGTATAGTTTACTCAATGTATATCCACATATTTTCGAAATTATACAAGGTAGCTAACTCAATTGAATGTTCTGGTTAGTTTTAAATCAAACGATCAAAATAATCGATGAAATGTAGCAAATTACAATTTATTTTTATCGGTAATGGTCGCAGATGAAGAAAAATTATAGGAAACAAAAAAAATCAGGAACGAAACGGAAAACTCATTTCGTCTATCGAAATATCTCAGTGGTGCACCACAAAAAAGTTTATGGATTGAAAATGGGCTTGACCCCTGAACAAATATCTCCAGTAGATCTGTAGATTTGTAAAATCGCTCGATATACTTTATGATGTGAACTTTGTGAACCTCAAAACGTACGCTATGTTTCAGATTCGATCTGAATATCTTTTGAAAACTAATAGAGTTAGGAACAAAGAGAATATATAAAAATCTTGAAATTTCAACTTCGATTTTAAAGGTCAGTAGTTCGGTAACGAAAGCGTTCGCGAACACATGTTTTTAGTAAAAAAATGATTATTTGGATCTGAAAAATGAGCCTTTGAAATCTTGACACTGAATTTTGAAACACCCTGTATAAACCACCAAGATTCACTGAATTTGAGAAAAAGATTTTCGAGTAATAAAGAAAAATATTATTTAATATGTAAACGTTGATATCTTATACTCTGATGGTATCTCGAAAATAAAACAATTTTAGAATATGATAAGAAAATCAACCCCGAAATTTTTTCGCAGCTCAATATCATCCACATCCAAGATATTATTTTAATCAAAGAATAAATATATATTTACCTGCTAATGCTTTCCTTATATTGTCTGTCGATAAAACACTCACTATAACTGGGATATACAGCACACATTTATTCAAATTTCGGAGACTAGGGCCATGCTGATTCTCTGGCGAACGACGCCAGAATAGTTTAAAGTCCATGTTATTGTGCTACTGGGTGCTTATAACAATAAGCGTCTAGCTATACCAATTTCAACAGTGGCTCTTTGAATTCCCATGGAAGGAAAATATCATTTTTTGGCAACCGTCCGGGAAGTGCTCACTTGCCGGACGCTTTTTCTTTGAGAAAAAAGCATTTTTTCGGCCTAGTCCGGGAAGTAAGTAATTCCTGGACTAGGCCAGGAAGTATCACATATCGTTGTTGTTACTCCCTAATAACACACTTATGTCCCATGGATGTCCTTAGGACGTCCTGTCGAAACATTCAGGAAGTCCATAGGACGTTCGAATGTGGTACCGTAGACGTCTATCGGACGTCTGTGGGACGCACAAATGTCCCACTTGAGGACCAACTAGGGACGTCCCTGAGGGATGTCCCTGGGACAACTATCGAAAACCTGAATCCTACAGTATTCCTCATTGAGCACTACAGAGGACATCCTTAGGACATCCATAGGACAACCTATCAGCAACGCTGGGGGATATCAATTGGATGTCCATAGGATGTCTCAGGGACGTACGAATTATTCTTGAATTTGAATTTTTCTGGGTCCCTCTAGGACTAGATCTTGCATAACTGATTAGGACATCCAGTTGAGTTGATGGTCCATAGAAGGTCCCCAAAAAGTTTCCCACGGACGTCCAATGGACTTACATGATGGAGGACATTGACGAGGAGTATACTTATAGCCTATATACAAGCAATCATTCGTCGGCGAGGTGTAAGTAAACGTCCTCACAGGGACAACATATTGAAAGTACCGACTGGGACGTCCATAGGACGTTATTTCTAGGACATTGGAAGAGTACAGTTCATGTACCAATTGGGACATATCCGACGGATATCCCTAAGGGACATTCGAAGGATGTCCCTAAGGGACATTTCGTTTGTTATACGATCCTGGAAATATTAAGGGCGTCTGTGCAGAGATGTTTGAAGGAATGTACCATCAGGGACATTTTATGGTTGTCTAGAAGAAACATTATAATAGAATGCCAGAATATGTACTACTTGGGACATCCGATGGATGTCCCTAAAAGAACGTTCAAAATCATATCCCATCAGGGACATGCCAAGAACGTCCTTGCATGGACATTCTACAATATGTACCACGTGGGACGTCTAAGGGATGCTATTTCTAGGACATTTGAAATGATGTACCAGCTGGGAAATTCCGTGGACGTTCTCGCTCGGACATTGCATGAGATGTACGGGATGGGACGTCCCAAGGACACTTATTTTTGGTTCGGGACATTCGGACGTGAATTGTACCAAATAGGGACGTCCCTAGGACGTCCCTAACAGAGGTGGCTATGTCTTTATTAACTAATGGTTCATAAAATGAAGGAAACTTCCTTGGTAAATTGTGTTTTTACACAATTTACTCATCGAAAAGCAGTAGATAATGGTAGGTTTTATTGCTAGTGGTGGACAAAAATTCTCAAATCGACCTACATAGGAATACGTAAGTACAGGAATGGGGTGGACCAAATTGTAACATACTGTACAGTGTGTCCAGTTTTCGATGCTTCTGCGTGATATCTCATTTATCTTTCGAGATAGAACCTTGCGGTTTCCGCGGTCCTGTGCCATTTTTTTTTTAAACTCAAGATAGCCTAATCAGATTTTCCGTTTATGAAATACAGGTCGATTTTGGAAATTTATACTTTTTGGACCCCCTCTATATATATACGAAGTTTCTCAGCGAAAATTCCAAATCGAAATCCCATCCCATAGGGAATTTCACGCAGAATCCAGTGGCGCACTCAACATTTTTTGTCGGGGTATGGTTTTGGAGATACGACTCAAACTTATGATTTTTTGAATGGAACACCCTGTATTTCATGAGCTCATTTGATTCCTAATTTCTTTCTCTTCAAAATGATATATATATAATGTATGAATATAACATTTTCAAAAATGCTCCAAAATCATTAAAACTTTGAGTTCAATAGTGGGCTATGGATTTTTCATATAAAAAAGTTTCAATTGAAGGAATATTCATTTTGATTTTTCCATGAAAATGACAAAAACTATACCAACACTAATTGACTGAGAAAACACGAAAATTAGGTACCTGATAGCAACAAATAAATAGTAACGGAAAGTTCGTAATGTATTTAGAATAAGCATCAGATTGAATATTTACAAAAACAATTCAATTTCGAAATTATTCAATAACTTATTCATTGAATTGATCAAATTGATGTCCATTTTCTTCAACACACAATTGACACTTTTTCTCAATACGTCTTGATACAGTAAGAGGCACAAAAATCTTGAAGAACTTCGTGCCACAACAGAGGCAGTTTCCAGAAATTACAAAGACATTCTTTAATGATTCGACGTATTGAGAAAGTGTGAGGAAAAATGGACATCAACTTGAACAATTCAATGAATAAGTTACTGATTAAATTTCAAAATTCAATTATCTAAGTGAATATTCAATCAGGTGCTTATTCTATATTATGATCTTTTTATTACTATTCATTTGTTGCTATCAGGTATCTAATTTTTGCGTTATGTTTGTTAATTAGCGTTGGGATTAATTTTGCCCTCTTCATGGAAAAATCAAATGAAATATTCCTTCAATTGGAACTTTTTCAAATGAAAAATCCATAGTCCACTATTAAAATTCAATGTTTTAGTGATTTTGGGGCATTTCTAAAAATTTTATATTTATACATTGAAGTTCATTTTGAGTGGACAAAAATGGGGGATTTATTGAGCTTATAAAATACAGGGTGTTCCATTCGAAAAACTATGAGTTTGAGTCGTATCTTCAAAACATACCCCGAAAAAAAAATTGAGTACGCTACTGGATTCTGCGTAAAATTCTCTATGGAATGAGATTTGAATTCGACATTTTCGCTGAAAAATTCCGTAGATATAGAGGGGGTCCAAAAAGTATAAATTTTCAAAATCGTCCTGTGTATCTCATGAACGGTAACAGTTATGCAAAATCAAAATCTGATAAGGTCATCTTGAGTTTCATAAAAAAATGGCTCAGGACCGCGAAAACCACAAGGTTCTATCTCGAAAGATAACTGAGATGTCACGCAAAAGAATCGAAAACTGGACACACTGTACAATAAGTGTTTCCATTTGAAAAAAAAAAACATTTTCAGTTACATTTTTACTCAATTTTATTCAATCTACAAAGCACACTTGTTTATCATTTCTAGCAACTTATTCGAGGCTAGTCTTGTGCCCGCCTATGATTATCAATAATGCTTGAGAAGGCTTGAGGTTGAGCTTTATCGCATTCTGATGCCACACGGAAATTCGTAGACGCAGATGGAACAAACTGGTAGTTTCTGTTTTCGTTGTTATAATCCTCCTGTATAATTTGTAGCGCTGTAATTGGAAAATAATGATCATTAACAGGATGTAAGTATGGTCAATTAATTTTCAGAAAGCATCATTCAATTCAATTTAATTTAATAAATACTACCAACTCACAGCATGCTCATTCAACACGCTTTAGAGACAATTCTAATATAGTCCTTCCTAGATTTCATAAATCAATTGGGCAACGACGCTCTTCATACATTGGTCAGAAATTATATAACCATCTACCAATGAGTTTGGAAAAAGAAATCTACATCAAGACTTTCAAGTCAAAAATAACACATTGGTTATCAACTTCAACCGTGACTATATTATAGATACAACTGAGACAGCCCCTCATATTTATATAGTTCATAAATTATATATTTGTAAATTTTAGAATATGTTAATTATTGTTCTAAATCAATCTCGAAAATATCTATCTTCATCTTAATTATTCATTCATCAACTCTCCAGGAGTACATTCTTTATGTTATTTTTTCATGTTTTCTCCTTCTTTATATTATTGAATCATTATAAGAAAAATATATATACCGATCTGAATATATGTATAGATTTGTCTGAGTTACACAAACTAGCTTAGGCTAAAGTGTACTTGGGCATGGCATTATGTATAATACCCTAGCTCTAACATCTTTCTTTTAGGATCAAGTATTCTTGATATTTATTCGCAATAATTGTATATCTGAGATACTTTATGTAGAAATGAGAATAAATATTATTATCATTATTATTATTATTATTATTATTATTATTATTATTATCATCAGTATTTGAGAAGATATTATTCAAGATTCAGGAAATATAGCAATTGTACATATTTCACAATCGACGACTGAATTTCAGAAAGCATCAATTATTATTGTATTGCAGAAATAGTTGATTGTTTTGAAGATCAGGTCGTCAATTGAATTTCAAGAATTGGTGTCAATGATTGTGATTCAGAATAGTCAATCATATATCAGAATTCATCAATTGCATTCCTGATTGGTCACTTGCATTTCAGAAAGCGTCATTTATATTCCAGATTAGTCAATTGTATTTCAAAAAGTATCAATTGTACCTCAGAATAGATTAGTGATTTTTGTTTCTGAAAGCGTCAATTATACTTAGAATATATACGATAGTTTCAGAAAGCATCAATGATTATTGTATTTCAAAACAGTCAATAGAATATCAGACTTCGTTAATTGTATTCTAGATTAGGCATTTGTATTTCACAAAGCGTCAATTGTATTCCAGATTAGTATCATTTGTATTTCACAAAACATCAATTGTATTTCAGAACAGTCAATTGAATTTCAAGTGGTAGTGTCAATTGTGATTTAAAACAGTCAATCATATATCAGAATTCGTCAATTGCATTCCTGATTAGTCACTTGCAATTCAGAAAAGTCATTCGTATTCCAGATTGGTCAATTGTATTTCACAAAGCGTCAATTGTATTCCAGATCAGTATCATTTGTATTTCACAAAACATCAATTGTATTTCAGAACAGTCAATTGAATTTCAAGTGGTAGTGTCAATTGTGATTTAAAACAGTCAATCATATATCAGAATTCGTCAATTGCATCCCTGATTATAGTCACTTGCATTTCAGAAAGCGTCATTTGTATTCCAGATTAGTCAATTGTATTCCAGAAAGTATCTATTTTTTCCCAGAATAGTCAATTGTATTCCAGAAAGTATCTATTTTTTCCCAGAATAGTCAATTAGATTTCATAGAATATGGTGATTATTTTGTTCCAGATTAGTCACTTGTGTGTTTCTGGAAACGTCAATTATGTGTACTTCAGAATAGACGATGGAGTTTCTGAAAGCATGAATGATTATTGTATTTCAGAGAAATTAAATTTCAGAGTTCGTCAATTGTATTCTAGATCAGGCATTTATTGTATTCCAGAAAGCGTCAATTGTATTTCAGATTAGTATCAATTGTATTTCAGAAAAGAGCAATTGTATTTCATAACAGTCAATTGAATTTCAAGTGGTAGTGTCAATTGCATTCCTGATTAGTCACTTGCATTTCAGAAAGCGTCATTTGTATTCCAGATCATTCCATTGTATTCCAGAAAGTATCAATTGTACCTCAGAATAGTCAATTGAATTTTATAGAATTTATTAATTGTGTTCCAGAGTATAGTCACTTTTGTTTCTGAAAGCGTCAATAATACTTCAGAATAGACGATTTAGTTTCAGAAAGCATACTTTATTATTGTATTTCAGAATAGTCAATTGAATTTCAGAGTTCGTCAATTGTATTCTAGAGATTAGGCATTTGTATTTCAGAATAGCATCACTTGTATTTCAGAAAACAGCAATTGTATTTAAGAACAATCAATTGAATTTCAAGTAGGTAGTATGAATTGTACCTACTTCAGAGTGATCAATCATATTTCAGAATTCGTATGTTTCATGACGACATATTGACGTATATTACTGGAAGTCATAAAGACGTCCCAACAAAGTCAACTTTGTGAAATTCATAAACTAAACTTATTCATTTCTTTCAATATTTTCTGCAGAATGTGCAATAAATTCTGTATTCCCTTCATTACCAGTTTGCGAGGAAATGTTAATAATGTCATCTTTCGAGTTTACGAAAGTGAAAAATTCAGTCATATTCATCGATTCACATATTATAAATAAATATGGGAATCTGATCTACAGAGGGTGAGTCATATAAATGTGTTCACCTACGATAGTAGCCAAACCTTCAGATATATAGAAAAAATTCGAACACAACAGTTATAGGGATTTATGAGAGATGTCTCGTGAAATCATTTTCATATCTATAGGGTGTCGAATTCCAAGATGTCGGCTGATGAAGTTATTTTTTTTATGGACATCCTGTATATTATTGCATTTTCATATTCTCCTCGAAGAGCTGTTTCAATCCATACATCAGACTTGGGGTCTAGCGGGAATGATTTCAGGAATATAGGGCGTACAAAATCGAGATTTTTCAAATTTAGGATTTTTTTGCGTTGAAACTATTCAGTATTGGTCAAAAGGGCTTACATGTCCCTATCTTAACATTTGATTTACAATCTACTGACATTTAATTGGAACAGATACTACAGATGGTGACCAGAGTTCTGAATCTTGAACCACCCAGCAGTATTTGTTCAAAATCGAAAGATAATATAGGGACATACATGTAAGTCGTTTTGACTATTAATAGTTTCGACACAAAAAGAAACCTAAAATTGAAAATTATCGTTTTGATGAAATCGGCTCTCCAGGAAGAACCTCAAAATGCAATGAAATACAGAGTGTCCCATTCAGAAAACACATCCGATATCTTGAAATTCAAACACCCTATAGATATAGAAACTATTTTGTGGAAAGTTCTTATGGAACCTTATAACTATATTAATTGTATTTGAATTTTTTCTACATATCTGACGTTTGGCGAATGTCGAAGAGGAGAACTCACTATTTTGACTCACCTGGTAGAGTGATCGTTTTACTGGATATATATGAACAGGTTTGAAATATAGGTATGGGGCATACATATCAAGTACCTAGGTAACCAGGCACAGTGACCTAAGCTGACGTCAAAATGACGTCGTTTCTTCGTCCAATATTCTCCCTGCTTATTACCGAATAAAAAAATCAGTAATTATCTCACTTTCTCATCGTCTCTTCTACGTAATTTCAGTTTGTTTATACGTTTCTCTACAGCGTGAAGCTTTATTTGCCAATTTTCGGTACGTTGTAATCAAGCTTCTTTCATTCCGCTTGCATCTCGCCGACGCTCGCTACACAATTCCAGATACAAATATGGATAGCTAATAGTATACTCACATAGAGATGCGAACTAATATTATACCGTATAATATGGCTATTTGTACCCTGAAATTGCTTGATAATATTGTAATCTATAGGTCATTTCCAAGACGTCATTTTGACGTCTTAATATGACGTCGTATGGCTGTCATTTTGACGTCTTTCCGAGGGTTTCAAGACGTCATTTTTTGACGTCAATTGGTCAGTTTTATGACCAGATTAGGACGTCCTTCGGACGTTATTACTGTGCTACCTGGGTACTGCGAGCAAAAAGTCAGTTTGATTTCGTATTCCAGATTATTCACTTGTACTTATCCCAGAAAATATCATTTGGATATCATAGAGCGTCAATAAACCACTCAAAAGAGACAAGAGGTTCCCGATTTTCGTGGCCATATGGTATACAGGGTGTTATGTCAGCATGTGACTAGATTTTGAGTAATGATTTTTGCGTGGTTCTGAAAGAACATTCGACAGGAAATGAATAGTTTTCAAGATACAGGTTGTCAATTTTTCAAAAATAAGTTTCTCGTGAACATCGCGTTAACATTTTCTACTCAAATATGTTGAAATTTGGCAGTTGGTATCATTTGTGGTAGTGAGAGACTAATTTAGACATAACCCAGGCAACCAGATGACGAATGGTTACATCACTGTGACGTACTCAATTAGTGATTTTTTGTGAGAGACGTCACACATCAATTTCTGACGTCGATATGAAGTACTTTCTATGACGTGATAATAAAGTCATTGTCACGGCGTTGGGTAAACGTCACATGAATTAGTAAAATATGACGTCAGTTTCATTGACGTTGCAGGGACCTCGTATAAACGTCATTTTTCTCTATAGTTCTGTTTATGTGTCATATAAAAACAGGGTGTCCCAAACTCGTTAGCCTATTAAACGTTTCTGGAGAACGGGACATAGGATCATTTTGAAAATCCGGTCTATTAGGTAATCAGTTCTGTTCTATCGATCTAAAATATTCTTAGCTCTTCGATGTTGCCGCTTCTAGCGAAAAGTAGCAATAACGTTGATATTTCGAATGGAATACCCTGTATTTCATTGTATCTCTATGTAGAGCGTGGATTTCACCGATCTATCACACACTAGCTAGGGTCAAGTGGGAATAATAACAGGAATATATAGGGTGTGAAAAATCGAGGTATTTCAAATTTGGTAACTTTATGTGTCAAAACTGATAATTATTGGAGAAAACAGCTTCCATCAGCTTTTGACTTACTATATGTACTGAATTTTGATTGAAACAAATACAAGGTGGTTTATAATTCAAATTTCTGACCAACCTGTCCCTGTTCCAATTGAATATCAATTTACCGTTGATGAAAAGTTAAGAGAGACGTTCGAATCAATAATGAATGATTTCAACAAAAAAAATTTCCAAAGTTGAAAAAATCTCGATTTTTCACACCCTATATATCCCTGAAATCGTTTCCGACAGACCCCAAGTGTAATAGACCGATGGATTCAGCTCTCCAGAAAGAATCTAGAAACGCAATAATATACAGGATCTTAAATTCGAAATATCGAAGTTGTTGCTACTTTTTGACAGATGTGGCCTGGCACTTTTATGACGTAACAGTGACGTATCAATGACGCCTGAAAATTACGTCGGTGTGACGTACCTATTTGGTGGGCTTCGTCATTCAGAAAATTTGTCAAAAATTTGCTATTTAGATTTTTGTTGGGTGACAATACGACGTCAACTCCTTACGCCACCTTGGTCATTCAACTGACGTAAAAAGACGTCATTGAACCGTGATCTGGTTGCCTAATAATTAGATTCGATAGAAACGATTTTTCTCCAAATTAGACAACCTCTGTATCTTGAAAACTATAAACATTTCCACCAAATGTTTGCAAGAACTTTTTGTCCTATACAGTGTGTTCCACTTACCATATGCTCACCATGGGTATCTTTTTAACGGTGAGAGATACGAGGTCGGTTGAATGACACCAAATGTGGAGTTTGTCAAGGCCAACTATATTGGGAAAAAATATTTTGATAAAATCTATTCGTTTTTGTTTTATACGCAAAAAACAGATTTTGATCATTTTCATGTCTCCTCCGAAACTTCTTTATTTATGAAAATATTTAAATATGAATTTCACATTCTCATGGCGTTTTTCAAAGTGATTTCGAAAAAAATATGAAATTTATACCAACTCTTCTAGAATTTGAGATATCAGCGACAACTTTAGTTTTTCAAATGTAGGTCATAGGATCATAGCTCACTATGACTTAGTTACAAATACCTTGTTTTTCTGATGAATGATATGTCGCAGTAATAGTTTTGTGTTGATAACAACGGAGTTATCGTCATTTATACAAAAACAAAAAAACTATTTGGAAGCCGCCATCTTGAATTTATAAATTTTAACAAAAAAATCATGATCTTCGACCTCAAAAACCCCCATTCACCAATTCTGAATCGAATCGGACCAAATCTTGTCCGCCATCTTGGAGCAGACATTTTTTTTAATTTCAACAAAAATTCCATGATGGATTGTCACCGAAATTATGAACACCTGCCAAATTTCAAGTTAATCGGAGTTATGGAATTTTTGTTGAAATTAAAAAAAATGGCTGCTCCAAGTTGGCGGACAAGATTTGGTCCGATTCCAATCAAAATTGGTAAGCGGGGGTTTTTATGAGGTCGGAGATTATGACTTTTTTGTTAAAATTCATGAATTCAAGATGGCGGCTTCCAAATAATTTTTTGTTTTCGTATAAATGACGATAACTCCGTTGTTATCAACACAAAACTATTACTGCAACATATCATCTGTGAGAGAAAAAAAAGTTATTTGTAACTAAGTCATAGTGAGCTATGACCTACATTTGAAAAACTAAAGTTGGTGCTGATATCTCAAGTTGGTATAAATTTCATATTTTTTTTGAAATCACTTTGAAAAACTGCCATGAGAATGTGAGATTCCTATTTGAATATTTTCATAAATAAATAAGAAGTTACGGAGGAGACATGAAAATGATCAAAATCTGTTTTTTGCGTATAAAACAAAAAGGAATAGATTTTATCAAAATATTTTTTCACATTATAGTTGGCCTTGACAAACTCCACATTTGGTGTCATTCAACCGACCTCGCGTATCTCTCACCGTTAAAAAGATACCCATGGTGAGCATGATGGTAAGTATGGGACACACTGTATAATCACATCTGAACAATCATGCCCTTGAAGTTTGACTACATTTACCTGAATATAACCCTGGTATAAACATTTCCTCACCTCGTTCCAGATCCATTGCATCCATCTCTTGATTCTTTATCAATCGCAACCTCTCCCTGAATTTTTCGGCAAGTTTTTTCCTGCAGTAATCTGCCTCGATTTCTTGTTTCGTTCTGGGCACTCTGATTTTTATGCAACAGCATGTCAACACCACTAGAATACATGTTTCATTATTCGACGATACCCAATTATACCGACCAATAATTAATTTATTAGATTTTTTAACATACGCCTCGTTAAAAGAATCAGATCTCGATCACCAAAGTAGAATTACGCGCTCTAGATACAAAAATAACTATTTTTTTGTAGAAGATAGAAATAAAAAACCAGAAACTTGGTATGTACCGTTATTTGAATTTTTCACATAAATTATCAGGTTATGTGAAAAATTAAGTGTAGAACTATCAAAAGTTAGAGATCTTTTTATTACCTACAACTTTGCAATTTGACTTTTTCTACAGTGTGTCCATTTAGTGCGTAATTCTTCGATATCTCGAAATCAATTATCACAAGAGAAAAATTTTGGAGAAAAAACTTTTTCAGTTACTGAAGTTGCTCATTTCGAAAATATTTCCAACAATACTGGGTGTTTTATAAAAGCGGGGCAACTCGAAGACAAGTTTTTTCAAATGGAACACCCAGTATTGTTCATTCGAAATTTACTCCGCTTAAGTTCAGCTCTACATCGCTGTAAAAAAAAATTGAATTTGGTTGCGGCGTTGCCAAGTTATAATTGATAAACCCATTTTTACTACTATTGAAGGGTCATATTCAATTGGGTATGGAATATTTATTTAATGAAATTTCGAAAATATTTTTGGCATACAGTAGTAGCGAGGTCTCACGTATACCAATCCAGTAATCTTGCGAGATAATCCTCTACAGGGTGCTAAAATTTACATTCTGAATATTGTAAGATTCAGACGACGATCATAAGAATTTTTCAAATGGAACACCCTGTATTTTTCATCACAGATTCATTTCGACATCATTCGCTTTTTACTCGCAGGAAAAAAAATCAAAATCGGTTGCGGCGTTATCAAGTTATGAGTAATTTCCTTATTTTTACTACTATTTCGGGGTAATTTTTACGTCATGATGGTTCCAATTTGATTTGAGTGTGAGAATATTGCTTGCCACATGACATTCGAGGTTCTACATAGATTATTCAGGTATTTTTGTGATATGAGCATCGTCCAAATTTGAACTATTCCGTAATCTTGTTATTTATGATTCAAATAATATGTGAAACAATCAAACATGCCAAAAGCAACGCCTGTCTTTGAAACAACTTTTACAATACAAGCAATAAAGATGCGGATTGCGAAAATTAGGACAATTTTTTGAAATTTGGGCCATTTTTATTGTCGTTATTCCCACTATTCAAATCTTCATTTAACTTGAAAAAGGTGAACATAATGATACAAACAATATGTCTCTACTACGCGGCTTTTGCTAGGGAATTCAGCAAAATGTGGAATCAATCCAAGATATATTTGATTGTGGCGATGTTCGACAGGTCATTACACAAATATTTCGAGAAAAATTCAAACTTGGAGAGCCTGTGAATGTTCCTTTTGTAAAAAACGACATGAATGGTCAATGAACAAATTTGATTATACCGTAGCAACGCAATATTTCCACAATACAAATAAATGAAAGAACTATGACGTACAAATTACTCCGAAATAGTAGTAAAAATAAGGAAATTATTTATAACTTGAGAACGCCGCAACCGATTCCGATTTTTTTTTCAGCAGTGAAAAGGCGAAAGATGTCGAAATGAATTTTTGAATGAAAATACAAGATGTTCCATTTGACAAATTCTGATGAATGTCATCTGAATCTTGCAAAATTCTAAATGTAAAATTGAGCACCCTGTTGAAGAACATGTCGCAGAATTACTGGATTGGTATTCGTGGGACCTTGCTTCTGTATGCCAAAAATATTTTCAAAATTTGAATAAATGAATATTCCATGCCCAATTCAACATGACTCTTCAATAATGGTAAAAATAGATTTATCAATCATAACTTGGCAACGCCGCAAACGATTTCAATTTTTCGCTCAGCGATGTGAAGGTGAACCTCGGCGGAATCAATTCCGAATGAACAATACTGGGTGTTCCATTTAAAAAAACTCTTCTTCGAGTTGCCCTGCTTTTATAAAACACCCAGCAACTTTAGAAACTGAAAAAGTTTTTTCTCCAAAGTTTTTCTCTATAGGTTATGGCTTTCGAGATATCGAAGAATTACGCACTAAATGGACACACTGTACATATAGGACTTGTAGTATCGCCGGCCCGACCTCAGATCGCCCAAAATTTATTTTGCCCTTCATCTTTGATATATTATCTTTCTTTTCCAATGGGTTTCATCCTACTATTATTATTTTCACTTTATACCGTTTTCAAAGACTTCAGCACTGGTCTGGTTGCGTTCCAGTCCCCAGACAGCACAGAATATTCTATGAATATTTTGACAACGTTCAAATATACTTATTTTGAAATATTCTAAACGAATTTTCTCAGAATGATCATTGAATATTCTGATTCTACAAACATTCTATTTTACATATTCTCGGAATATTGTTCAAGAATATTGTGGGTAGATAGTAGGTTCGCATATCTCCACCGGAGCAAGCTTTCTTAAAATATATTCTTTCTCCTCGTTCAATATACTACGAATATACTTAAAATATTTAATACAGCCCATTCCGAATGTTCGTAGAACGTCCCTTGAATATTTGTATCGAGTTGAGGCTTCGCACCCCTTCGTGGTCACTTTGGAGACCTACTGAACATCTCTTTCCAAAGACTCATTCATCCAACGAACAGCGAGGCTCTGGAACACATTGCCAAGGGAGGTGTTTCCCGAGGCATATAACCTCCAGAAATTTAAGAAGAACACTAATTCCTACCTTATTTCCCTTGGTTCTCACGATGTTCTCTGAACATTACAGGATATCCCTTCTCGTGGGAACCAGAACACAAAATAGAATTGTGAGAGTATCATGAGATTATTCAAATATTCTCTAAGAATATCCTATGGACGTTCTATGAATGACATTGTGCTGTCTGGGCCAACAGTGAAGGTGGCGCGTATGCGGATTCAGATATTTGGTCGAATTTCTTTCGTGCTATTATCGAAACCACGTGGTAATATTGAAGTAAAGACAAAAACTCACCAATCACAGTGAAGGCAGAAAAACAAAAGAATATATAGTGCCATATCCGAAAGCCACCGGACCCTTCAACTGCCGCTCTTTCTATCCAAAGTTCGTTTTTTTCGTCTGGATTGGCATAGAAAGTAGCCATTTTTACCCTCAACGGGAGAATACTGATGTCAGTTGTAGTTGAAAACGAGATGGAAAAATAGTCGGATACAGTGGCGTACCCTGCTCTCTGGAGTGGGTCATTTTCTTCCAAAAATTATTTCCATTGAAAGGCCAGATAGCCGTGCGGACAGAGTGTCAGTTTTCTAATCCGCATTCGCTTGCCGGTCGTGGCTTCAATTCCCCGCGACTGCAGAAAATTTTCTGATGGCCCAAGAAAGTGTTTGGGATCGCACGTTAAAAGGTAAAACCCCCGTCATTCCTTGTTCGCACAAGTCTCTCGAAGACTTCTGAGGGTTGCTCGTAAGGGGGCAGCCGAATGATGGATAAAACAATTTTAGAACAATTTTTTAGAACAATAATGATGGCGAGTCAGTTTTCTCTCTCTTTATTATACAGGGTGTACCTAAATAACCCCAAAATAATTCAAGGTGATATTCTAGCAAATAAAGTTCATATAAACATGTATCTTAACTTGCTCCGTTTTTGAGATACAGGATGTTGAAGTTGGAAGTATTAATTGTTTCTATTTATAAACCCCCTGAATGAAGTTTTATGGTGCCAAAATCCAGTATGGATGGAGACTAAGAAAGCACCAAAATTTCGAAATGATTCTCCCAGACAGCAGATATTCCATGAATCTCCCTATCATATTCCTTTTGGAATATTGGAATATCCTAGAAATAATCTGGAATATTCCGGAATACCTGTGGAATATTCTCTAAATATGCGAATGGGAATTCCTCAGATATTCATAGAATATATCCAAGAATATTCTATATTGAATGTTCCTGGAATATTCAAATAAACATATTCCAAAATAAAAAAAGTGACCCAAGTAGGGATCGAACTCGTGACCTCAAGACTATCAGAGCAACGCCTTGACCCCTTTACATCTAATTGATGTTCGATATACTCACATCTCTAAAATAATGATTGATATTTATGTGTTGAGAAACAGGAATATTCATGGACTATTCCATGAATGTACACCACAGAATATTCAGTTGAGAATATTTCATGAATATACAAGAGAGGATATTCATTTGGGAATATTCCTGGAAAATTCATACCTGAATATTCCCTGAACATATCCGACTATTCACTTTGGAATATTCCTTTTAGATGTTCCAGAGGAATGTATATATTCTAGGAATAATCGATGAATATTCGGAATATACTCCTCCTTTTTAGCATATTTAGAGAATATTCTTGGAATATCCAGGTGCTGACTGGGTAATTGGGGTTATTGAGTAATCTCAATGGAAGTCTTCAAAACACCTACATTTAATTTGGAGTCAAATCGAATTTTTATTTTTTTCTAAAAAACTAATGTAGATACAAATATCACACAGAAGAAAAAAAAAGTTGTTGTGAAACTCGGAAATACCGATGGCATTCACCATAAATATCGACAAATTTAGCTCCATATTACTATTAACAAAACCACAACGTTTTATTGAAATTGATGAAGACACTTATTCGGTAATGAATAAAAAAACGATCTTTCATGAAAATATTAATACCCTGTATCTCGAAAAAGAAGCAAGTAAGGACACATGTTCATGCATACCTATGAACTTTATTTCCTAGAATATCATGAGGAATCGCCCCATGTATTTTTTCTTTTGTAAGTTAGATACACCCTGTATATGATATCAACTTTCTAAAAGACACAGTGAGTATACATACGATTCGAATTCAAAAATGGTCCAATTCATTCCTGAAACGGTCCCAAATCGGACCTCTCTGGTTTTCTCAAACCGTATCTCCTAATGACGTCCGCCATACTAAAAATGAACGTCCCGAATATCCGATTCGTATGTTTTTAGGACGTTCATAGGATATATATTTGTGCTATGTGGGATTCAAAAAAGATTATTCTGAGAATATTCAGGATCGAAAATAGGATATTGATGTTATTCTTGTATCAATATTTTTGATGTTTCCCCTAGCCTCAATGCTAATTATCCTACTAATTATGTGTTGCCATCTTCCCAGACAGTACATACTATTTTATTAATATTCTGACAACGTTCAAATATACTCATTTTAGAATATTCTAATAGAATGTTTTCAGAATGATCATAGAATATTCTCCTCGATATTCTCATCAAGCAGTGAATATTCTATAAACATTCAATTTGACATATTCCCAGAATATATTCTGAATGTTCTGAGGATATTCTTTTTGGATATTCTGCAAATATTCAGAATCGTATCAAAATGAATGATATTGATGTTCCTATTCTCGTATCAATATTTATGTTTACCCTGATACAACTTATTTATTCTCTAGCCTCAATGCTGATTATCCCACTAATTCGAATTAACCCCAATAGCTCACAACGTCCTAGGGATGTCCCTATTTGGTATAATTCAAGTCCGAATGTCCCGGACTAAGAATAAGTGTCCTTGGGACGTCCCATCCCGTACATCTCATGCAATGTCCGAGTTAGGACGTCCACTGAATATCCATCGGATGACCCAATTGGTATATGAACTATACTCTTCCAATTTCCTAGAAATAACGTCCTACGGACGTCCCAGTCGGTACTTTCAGTACCTATGTTATCCCTGCGAGGACATTAACTTAGACCTCGCCAAAGAATGATTGCTCGTAGGCTATAAATGTCCTTCACGACGTAAGTCCATTGGACATCCTTAAGAAACTTTTTCAGGAACTATTGGGGACCTTCTACGGACCATCAACTCAACTGGATGTCCCCATCAGTTATGCAAGATCTACTTCTAGAGGGACCAAGAAAGATTCAAATTCAAGAATAATTCGTATGTCGCTGGGACATCCTATGGAAATCCAATTGATATCCCTCATCGTTGCTGATAGGTTGTCCTACGTATGTCCTATGAGAATGTCCTCCGTAGTGCTTGATGAGGAATACTCTAGAATTTATATAGGTATTCGATAGTTGTCCCAGGGACATCCTTCAAGGACGTCCCTAGTTGGTCCTCAAGTGTGACATTCGTGCGTCCCACAGACGTCCAATGGACGTCCACGGTACCAAATTCGAACGTCCTGGATGTTCCGACAGGACGTCCTAAGGATATCCATGGGACATAATTGTGTAATTGGGAACGGTTCATGACGAAGTGGTTAAGGTTTCAGGTTCGTAAAAATTCGAGTAAGCTTCTTTCAATTTCCTTCCTTCTCCTTCAATATACTAGAAATATTCTCAGAATATTTAAAACAGCATATTCCGATTGTTCATAAGATATCCCTAGAATATTTGTATTATATTTTGAGAATATTCTGAGAATATTCGAATATTCTCGAAGAAAATCCTATGAAAGTTTTTTAAATGATCTGGGTTGCTATTCACATATTATTTTTCAATAAGGTTCGTTAGCGCAGTTAAATATAATAATGGTGAGTATTCTTTAACCTAGCACTAGTTTAGTGTTCAGTTATAATTAGCCACCTCAAAATACATATCGATTTGGTTAATACCAACTGATCACTCACAGTATAAATGTTGTTCCAGAAATATTGTTTTGCCTACTTCAAGTACCTTATTTTCCTACCATTGCTGGAAATGTTCTTGTCACAATCGACTTTTTTTCAAGAATACGATTTGCTTGGCCAAGTTTTCTTAGTGTAAGAATATTCAAACATTCTCAGAGAATATGCTATGAACATTCTATAAATGACATTGTGCTATCTGGGTGGGGTATATATTGCCTTCTTTCATTATTTATCTTCCTCCGTAAGTACGCTACTGGCTGATGGGGGTAGCAGATTACCGCACCTTCTTCGTTAATCCAGGCACACCTTGAAGTCATTATGGCTTTGTCCATGTCTCATGTGATCATTGGAAAATCGTTAATATTTCCTGCGATTCATTTGGCGATAGAGATAATTCGGCGTACAGGGCGAACAAGTTTTGAATAAATAGTGGCTGATAAAATACGCCCCTAGCTATAGCGGCGCTGTTAACTGTCCCATTTTGAAAAAGAAAAAAGCAAATGGAATGATTCATCTGATACTACAAAGTGACACCAACAATTTTTTTTCCAATTTCATCTCTAACGACAGCGATTGTCAACTTTTTGTTTTTCCAATGGTATATCCCAGCAAACATTGAACTAGCGGGAGAAGTCGTTACCACCGATACAACAAGGCCAGCAGACTCTGACGTAAACAGCTCGTGACGTCACCAAGAGAGGCCAGTGTTTTATTTTATCGCTTGTCGACTGACGCGTCAGTTTGTGTTAATTCATCGGTGATTCACGTATGTTTTTGAAACGGTCCCGAATTCTTTTGTTGTTTATTCATCAAAATAATTGGCGGAAAAATTACTGTTTTGTGAAATATTTTGTGTTGTGATCGGCGAATTAACAATGCCTTTCAAGTGTTGTGTTCCCTTTTGTCGGGGGAATTATGTGGGTGGTTCAAGAGTTCATGCTATTAGTTTCCCGTTGGACGAGGAGCTATCGAAAATGTGGGTATATGCAATTCACCGCGAGGATTTTACTCCATCTAAGTTCAGTAGTAAACAGAGCTTAATTTATAATGATGAATTAATAATAGAAGACAATTACTCTCTCATAAAAAGTATAAGTAGAGGAAAAATAGAAAAGCTTTGATTGTGCAGTTAGTTTTGTATTCGTATATATTATAGTCAACAAAATCATCTCTGAATTCGAGGACATTTTCTTGAATGTTCATAATAAACGGGCATTTTTAATTCTCATTCTCGAATTTCTTTCTGAAAACGGTCATTTGCCTCGTGGCAATGAATGCAGAATTCATTCCAATGATCAAATTGCAACTATCATATTAACATGAACTACAAACACTCTACTTAAAAAGGGAAAACTGCATTTATCATGATATTTATCATGAAGATATTTGACTAAAAAGTTCCAAATGTCACCTTCTTTTTCACCTGTCTTCTGGATGGCATTTAGAACAAATTCCCCTTCTTTTTTTATCATATTGGACAATTTATATATAATTCAACTATATAAATATGATTTTCT